TGAATCCAAAATTCAGGACTTGAATGAAATAATTCTGTGATATTATCAGAGAGATCCTGTTAAGTTGTGGCATTTAAGGGTCACTTTCAGCAAAACAGGATTTTTTTCAATATCTTAACAAATATTGTCATTTGGCTACATGTGAAGTGCTTTAATAAATAATCTGCCAATTTGTGAGTCTATGTTTAAGATGTACTGACCAATTGAAATAAACTGATCTTAAAAAATAACAAATGTATAGAAAACATTTTTATAAATGCTTTTTGAGGTTGGAAAAAAGGGACATTACAGAAAGCTAGTTGAGGCTGCTCCTGCCACTCTTTATAAATAAATGCATATTGTAAATATGTGTCTTTGCCTCTAAAACTTTCAAATTGAGCAAAGAGCAGCAATAGTCCATTACATTTTGCAGAAAATATGAAATTCTGCAAGTAGATCTTTCCTCCTGAATGCTTTCTCTTTACTTTCCTGAAAACAATTTAAAACATTCATATTTATTAAGAATGTACATACTTTGATAAAAATGGATATTTCAGAGACAAAATTATTTTATAATATTTTAAAATATATTGTGTTGGAAGATTTATGTGATCATGTCCATTGACTTTGTTGGTGTAATAAAATTTCAGAACAGAATCTCTTAAAATTAATTAATTTATAATCTAGTCAGTGACTCAGGAACACACACCTAGTTTCTCTTTAACCTCTCTACTCATACCTGGGGATACTTCTTAAAAATAAAAAATAAAGGTTTACTTTAAAAATTCAGAATGAAAATAAGAACTGATTTTATTTTAGTCTGTGTCCACTGTTCTCTCAGTTATATATAAAAGGAAGAAAAATTGTGTATACTGGCAATTTATTTCACATTTGGGAATCTACTATGCAGAAGAATAAATTACGTATGTCTGAATTTTTATACAGTCATTTCTCCTAGATTATGTGTATTGCCCAAAGTTACTCTGAGAATTAAATAGAGTATAACAATTGGTGAAGATATTAACAGGTCAATTTTATCTTGAATGGCTTAAAAACATATTTTGCTGTACTAGCATTAAATTTTATTCTTCATGCTCTGCTATATGGTTAAAACTGTTTTGAAAATTCTGCTAAGTTTTATTTTAATAAATATTTTACAACAAGCTCTTTGATAATATCAAAAGCATTGTAATTCTCTTCCTGTTATACTTAAAAAAAACAAAACGTTGCCTTGCAAATATACACTTGTATATTTTCTAAGTGGGACTGTTTGGAAAATCTGAGAACATTAATTACCCATGATAAATGTAAACACATTTAGACTGAAACTCTTTGATTTCTAGGCTTCATACAGATCAAGTTTGTAAGAGCCAAATGATTGGAATATTTTTAAATGATGAAGCTTGAATGACACCGTTAAAAATAACATGATGCTCACAATTTACACAGGGAAATTGAGAATAAGAGAACTAAGGAAAATGGTCACCCATGATGAACTTTCCACAATAGTGCTGAGAATCAGTGGCTAAAAGCCAATTACAATAACAGAATTATATAGAAAATATGGAAAAGAGTATTTCAAGTATGGGAGAAAAATGGTAAGCTTTTCCTTGTATTTCCATGGTGCTCCAAGTCTAACTAGCTCATGAAAGGAACTTTGTAAAAATATAAAGGAAAGAAATATGGTGAAATAAATTTATTACAAATGCATATTCATAAAGAGAGGGGACAAAAAATGGAAGTGTGATCCATATTGATCCTACAATTATATAATAGGGATTTCTTTTGACCAGAAATATAGCTTAATAAAACATTTACAAATAAAACTTTTTAAACTAACTTGGGAAAGCTACAAAAGAAAACACCTATTCAGTGGTTTTTGTCTTTCTTATTAAAATGTACTTTTTCAGAGGTATATTTGCAAACTAATTTTTTTAAAAACACATTTTATTGTTGTTTTGGTAACAGTTATCAAATGTGTCTTCAATACATGAGTCATCTTCAGTGTTTCCTAGAAGCCTGATTTTTTTGTTGTTAAAAACACAGATTTGGCATCTGTTCCATAATTTTTCTGAAGATCTGGAGGATGTAATAAAAAAAGGAACCTGTCTTCAAGGTGATTTTTTAATTATAAAGCAGCAATTTGATAGCTCTCTAGATTTTGTTAAACATCTATTTCATAGTACATGGTATATATGGAAAGTTAGCTTTGTCTGTTTTAATACATAGATCATCACTAGACAATGAGGATCTGTCAAAAGCATATTTTAAATTTCTCATTTTTGTAAATAGGAGGTTAGATTCAAGATCGTTCTAAGGTTAAAGTAACTAGTCCCATGTAAGACACTTTCCTTGGCAAACAGAAAACCATTGTGCGGACCACACTAAAGAATAAAGACATCATTTCAATAATGAGACAAATCAAATAGATTTGATTGCTGAAGGTATTTGAACATGGGGTAGTGAGAAGGATTAGTATAGCTCTTAGAACACTTTTATGTTATCTTACTTAATGAGGCCAAATTGAATATAAAAAAATTTTAGTATAGATACTTGGGGTTCAAATTCAAAACTAAAAGTGAAGCATAATTGTTGCAAGATTTTGTTGTTTTGAACTTGATACCCGAATTATAGGCAGAACTCCAATAGACTCCAAAAGGGAAAATGTAGTCAAATGTTTTGGATATAACCGTAAAGTGAACAGAACTTGATTCATTTTGTATAAATGAAATGTGACTGAGGAAGTTAGTGTACATATTACTGAAACCAGATAAATTTAATGTATCACATGGCAATGGTGAAACTGAATGTATCACCTTGGGAAAATGATTCTTCCATATCTCTGGTACAAATGTTACTCTTCTTAATGTAACACACCACTTAAGTCTAAAAACAATTGACATGCTTTCTTTTTCACTTGACAGTGTTGTATAGAGCAAATCGGCCCCAATCAATAAAAGCTTTGTGGAGCTGTGAGCATTTCTGCTTGTAGAAGCCATATGTATATAAGTAATCTATTGATTCTCAGTCCATAATTTTAAAAAGTCACCTTGCCATACATCATTGCAGTGTACCTTTTTGGATTCAATTTTAATGATATGTTTTCAGTTATCTGTATATATTCTTTTCCTTGTTCTTAGCCTTCACAATTGAGTCTCCAGTTGACTAGCTGGTTTAATGTAACTACCTCAAGAGTCATTGCTTTTGGCAAGTTTAATATTATTTGGCATTGTCTAAAGTGTAGTATCAGTGCTTTCTTTTTTGGCTTTCAATTTGTGTTTTTATAAAATAAAAGAGAACATAAAAATACTACTAATAAAATGTAATTATATTCTTTTTGAAATTTTATTTAAACACAGGGATTTGTAATGTATTTTATCATTGTTTTTACACTATTGTTCCCCAAACAAGATGAATATGAAATACATTTATAGGAATTTTTGATTTTCCCTCCCACCTTTTATTTGCCCTTTCTATGTCTTTATTACTTTTACTCTTAGGCAGAAGCCCAGAGGATTATGTTAGGTTAAGGGTATTTTCTAGTCTCGTGTTTATTTACCATCTTTCTGACCATCAACCTCTATATGGTTACAAGCAAGTGCTGTGGGCTTGTGCACCCACAGAACTTGTGTATGAAAGGAGAGGACAGTTCCTTTTCTCTGAGGAGCAGGCACTCGGCATGGCACAGTTGGTTTCTGAAACTCTCTTGCCAGTAGGAGCAAATTAGACACAGTAAAGGAACTCTTAAAATGAGGAAATTTGTTGCATGAAATATTCACAATTCTAAAATCAAATGAATTCTTTTGTATATAACTAAATCACGGTGAGCACAGAACTCTGATTAAATTAAAGCTCTTATTTTGCATTCTTCTCTATATAGATCTAAATGCTCATTCATTTTGGGAATAATCACGTATACCATCTCTAAGTACTATGTTTCAAAAAATCTGGGTTTAATTACAAGGCTGGTCAATAGACAATGGGTGTGAGGAAAAGGGATGATAGAGTATTGAACCTGTCAAATACTTAGTTCTCCTTGAATTATCATTCCTAATTTCCAGATACATATATTGATCAAATAGTTATACTTGTGTTAAAAAAATCACATATTTGAATGTCTTTCAAATCTCTCTTTTCCCTTCTTTCCTAGCATCAAATTTATGCTGCATTCACATACTGCTGAATTAAATAATCACTGAACCAATTCTCCCCTATTACCATCTTTCACTTACTGTCCACAGCAGTCAGCTATCAAGTTTTGCTTCTTTTGTTTCAGGGACCACTGCATGTTAAGTGTTTTTGTTTAATGGAAAAGTGTGTGGCATACAGATTATTTTAATATTTTTAATTAGTTGACATTTACTGAAATTATATTTGTGGTAAACATTTTGCTGCATTTTCAGGGAATAAGAAAGTAGAAGAAATGTAATTCATGAACTGAATGACTATATTAATGTACTAAAAGGCATTAAATTTAGTATTTTTAAGTATACAACAACATTCAGGAGTCTGAATAATATTACAGATATAATTTGAAGTACCTTATTGTTATTTTCTAAATAATTTGAGACTAATTGATTTTAATGTTGCAAGTAAACTACATGTTCACTTTGCAGTCAAGACTCTCAGAGTATTTCTGCCCAAAGTAATTGATCTTTTCAACCTGTAATTAAAGGTTTGTTTTCAGGATTACAAAGTTAATATTTGGGAAAATGATTAATGTGTAATAAAATAATAAATATATGTAAGTTTTCTTTTAATAATAATAAATCATATTATTGACATAGATAAATTGAGGCATATAATAACTATCTCTTTCCTAAACTGTGTCATAAAATACTAAGTAGAAAGAAATGGTGAAATATTTATAGAGTACAATAATGTCTACTTAAGTTTCCAAATACATTTTCATAATGAATCCCCCATGTGGTAGTATACTTGAAATTAAAGTTTAAGAAATGTAAACACATCATAAAAGAAAAAAATGCAGGACTTTAAAAGCAAAAGGGAAACAATATTACCCAAAAGCAGCAACTTCACAGTTCTTGCATCTCGCTCAGCATCTTCCTGAAGCTTCCTCTCCAGTTCTTTTGACCTTTTGGCTGACTCCTTGCTTTCTGAGCTAATTCCACTTCCCATTTTGTGGTTCTAGGTACTTGTCAGTTTATTTGCTCAAACTTTTTCAAACAAAGAGTGAAACTTTGGTTTGGATGTGGGATTTAAGAGCAGTGTTTGCTAAAGTAGCCAACAGCCCTTTCCCCACAGTTCAAGATTCTGCTTTGACCAAAGAGATGGCTGTGATCTGTCACCTGATTGTAAAACCATGGATCCCCTGATGAAAGCTGAAGAGGAAGTTCATTATGCTTTCAAATTAAATGGTCACTTCTGGCACATCTTCAAAACCGAGTTTATCTGCTTTATGATTACCATAAAATAATGGTAGACAGTTTTGACAGTAGAATGCTGTCAAAACGTATACACTAAAGATGATCTATCTGCAATGAGCAATTTAAATGGAATGTTTCTTACTTGTACAGTCTTTATTACTGAGATTCGAGGTATTGTTATAAACCAACAATGCTTGCATCTTATCATTAGATGCTTTGCTCTTCAGATTCTACATATATCTACCCCTATATCAACAATCCAAATATTTATATTGTTATCCAAATTTGATGGTCTGCCTCTGCTTAAATTACAACAAAATTATTGGGAATCTCTTAATATGTCAACAAACTAGAAAACACCTTTTTAAAAACAATATAAACAAATAACATGGTTTTCATATTTATATATATCCTAAAGCTGCAAATATAGAATTCAAGAAACAGTTTTCTTAAATTATTGATTTTGGTCTCACAGGATCCATCTCTACAAATTGAGCTTTTACCGCCTGTAAGAAAGTCAATCCATCAACACTAATTGAGGGTCTACTTGGTGGAGACCCTGACCTGTGTTCAATTTAGGCAGCACACTAACTCGTGAGGTTCATTAGCAACAGCTGTGCTACAGGGGCTTTTACTGATTTAGTACCAAGGGAATCAAAACCAATATTCTTTGAAACAACAGGTAATTTGGTTTCTCCTGAGAAGGAAAAACAGTAAATAGGCCTATGTTCTATACCTTCAAAGCACTCTACTGATATCATGTAATTCATGAAAATCTTCAGGTTTCAGGACTCAGATGATGCTGTGCCATTTTTTATTTATGTGAAGGATAAAGCACTTAAGTAGTCAATCAATATTTTCCTTATAAACTGAGTTGTTTGCCTGTAGAAGCAGGTACACCTTTCAATGTACATTTTGGGATTTGTGAGTGTGTTTAACCAGAGAATATTGGAATATAGTTAGCCCATCAACCTGCCAAAGCTGTTCTTGTGGGATCATGTGCAAAGTTTGAACAGGTGTAGTTTTGAATATTCATACAGCAAGGAAATAGGCTGCCAGATTAAAAACACATTTCTGCTTTGTTTACTTTTATACATTAAAAATGTTGGACTGAAGATACATAAACATAGTCAAAAACATACTGGACTTTATCCTTCCAAAGCTATATTATGATAGTATAAATATTCAGAAAGGTACATATGTAAACATTTGTGCAAACCATGTGGTATTGCTTTTACAATGCAAATCACCTATGTCAAAGGAATGAGATTTCCACTGCCCACATCATTTATGCTCACTCATGGAGACAGAGCCCACCCTGAATGCAACACTTAGCACATTAAATCAACTTTCACTTATTACTTTTGTGAAGAAATTGAATATATATAGTACCTTGAATATTACGATTCCTTTATTTTGCACAGCAGCAATAGACTGACAGGATGCATTATATAATTTGCCTTCAAGTATAAATACACCCCTTACCTTTTGGCAGGGATGTGCTCTGGTTTTGACAGGATATATGTTATTGAAGGCTTCTTAAGTATGTTATGAACTAAAACTGACCCTTTCAGGAATAGAAATATAAAAGTTCTGCACTGTATAAAATAATGAATTTCTGCTTTTCTGAATAACCTACAATTTTGTCATCAATTTTGTGAGATTATTATTTAATTTTTGCATCAGTGACTAACGTATTTCTGACACAAATTCTAGATGTGTCTGTGCTGTGGGGAAGGAAGCTAGAGAGAGCCCAGAGAACTGCTTTTTACCCTTCTCCTCTGGGGGCCTAGCTCACAGCACCACTAATGAGTTGGGGTTGTTAATAGAGTTACTAGTTCATGTTGGTGTGCCTAAAGAAATTATGAAAATCAAAATTGCAAATCTACTAGGGTGAAATAACAACTTACTAATTTGAATGTCCTTCACAGAAGTACTTTACAGAAGTACAGTACTTTCCAAAGGAAGTGTTTAAAAAAATATTTTCTGCCAACAAGATTATAGAGAACTGAAGTCCTTTCCTTGCTTGTGTTCAGGGACAGTGGAGTGTAACTTTCTTTCCAAGAGCCATTGTCTAGATTGATCTACCTTTTCACACTAAAAATTTTAGAAGGACTTAAAAAAATCAATGAAAAATCCCAATTTTAGTCAAAAAGTCTCAGCATATACAATTTTAGCTTTTAGTCCAACATTCACACTTTTCTTCCCCTCAGTCTTAAAAATAATAGCTTCATGCTCACTTTTAGCTGTTAAAAACTTCTGCACACTTAGGGAAAATTGATAGTGGATGCTAGCAGAAAAAGGAAACAAAATTAGATGTTATGAGCAGAAATCTTGTTTTACCTTGAGAACAAGAAACATAAAGCTATCCAAAATACCTTCATGTTACTGTTGTAGACATTGACCACTAAAAGAGGTAGATTGTTCTGTATGCACAAATGAATGTACACATACAAGATAAAACAGAACGTGTTGGAATTCTCTGGTCTTTTAGAATAATCGTTGAAAATGACTTTTTTGGCATGAGAGCATCAGCCTGAATGGGGATATCTTCCTTCAGCAACAGCCCTGAGCTAGAAAGAAAATTGACTTGAGATTAAATATAGACTTGTAGATCCCTTAAACTCTGAAGTCACTGGCATACCACAAATCCAGGCAGTGTGAATAATTTTTCTCTTATTATTTTGCTTAGAGTTTCTTTCTGTGAATGTTTTGAGGGAGTCATTAGGTTTTATGAAGTTTGAGTAATCACTATCTTACATTTTGAATTCAACATATAGTCCAATTGACCTGCTTTTAGTAGACACATTTCAATTGATTTTTAAAGGAATTTTTTTTGTCACTATTCATTTCCTGGATTTCTACTGTTATCAATATGGTTTTCCCTTGGGGATGTTACATGTGGATGACTTCAGTGGCTCAACTTCTTCTAGAAATTATCAAGATAGGTTGTTATCTGTGTTATTCTGTATTTTGTTTCTACATCTTATAAGACGTGTTGATTTCAGGCATTGGGTCCCTGGGTGGTTTGAATCCTGGCTGCCTTGGCAATGACCTTTACACTTATATGTTCCCATGAAATTTGAAGCAAAGCATCCCTCCTTTGCTAATGGTACTCAAATGTGCACTTCTGGGAGCTCTGAGCATGATATTTACTCTAGACAGCACATGGCTTTTGGGGCTTCCTGAGAGCAATCTTTTGATCTTAAGGGAATAGTGCAAAACTTGCTATTTCAAGTTAGTATATTCAGGTGGCAGTGTACACTGCCAACACTCAGCACTATGACTTAGGAAGCAAGAGAGACAAGTACTTTTATTTGTTAGAGTTGATTTCAACCTTTACTTAATTTATACACATTTCTTTATGGACTAGGATATGATTATGTATATGATTACTGAAATAAGAGTCAGCATCTTGTTTACCAGGATGCTTCTTCCCAGTCCAAATTCTATTGTGAGATTGTTTTATTTGTCACTTAAGCACATTTCGTCATTAATTCCTTTAGTCTTTTTTCTCAGTAACTTCAGTTCTGATTATTGGAAGACTGCCCTATCCTTGTCCAACTTCTCTGATTGTAATCAATTCCTCTAAACCCAAGATTCATTATTATTCATTTCTTGATGAAAAAACAATGGTTCCTTAGGTATTAGTGTCTTCTACCTTAATTCCTTCTGCTATACACTTAACGCTTTAGGTAGCAATACCAACTATCTAAATATTCTTCCCAGTGTTTCCATAAAAATTCTCTCTCACAGCTGGACTTTTCTTTCTATCCCAAGTAAGCATGCCATTGTAGTTTTTGTTTGTGCTTTTTTTGCTCACTAGGAGCATCCCTTTCTTCCACAGATAGATAACTTTTCCCTTTCCCATAATACCCTGCTTTAAGAAAGAACCCAGCATTTATGCTCTCCTTTACCAACTACCACCTGTTGGAAGGTTCCTTACATCTCAAATTTCTGAGAGGCATCTGTTGCCAGCTGGTTTGTCCCTTCCTCATAGCTACAGAGTCCACAGACCAGCAACCATGCCTTCTAGTTCTTCTCTTTCATTTGCAGGCTCTAAGCTAAAGATATTTAGAAGGAAATAATTATTGAATGGTTGGTGACCAAAATGTACTTTGCTCCATCTTGTAATTGCATGGCTCTTTTTGCAGTTATGAAATGTTAGCTCTAGAATTGCAAGGATTTCTTTATCCAACAATTAATCTTCTGCAATACTTTAGGCATGGGAGATTCAATAGTAAACACAGTAGTCAGATATATGTCCCTCAAAGAGATTAAATTCAAGTGTTTATGTGTGTGGGGGGGCTGTTATAGAGTTCACACAGAAATTAAGCAAGAAAAAATATTTGAAGTATCTAGAATTACAGATAATGACAAAAAGGAATCAAACAGATAATACAGATGAGGAGTATTAAAGTGGTGGTAATGACAAGGGATTATAATTTTATGCTACATGCCCAGGGAAAACCTCACTGAAAAGGTAATTGTATTAGATTAGGTACTCTGGAAATTGACTTTAACATGAAAAAAATGCTTGCAAGGATTTAACTGGAAGTTATCCATTGGAAAAATCCCTGTAAAGCAGTGAGGGAATATTGGTAGAAGGAGACACTGTGTTGCAATGTAGTTGCAACAGAGACTCAGTCAATCCTATGGGGAGAGCTGAAGCTGAGATGCTCCTTTGGGTTTACACTGAAATGAGACAAGAAGACTGGACCATTGTATTTTTTCAAAAACCAGATACTGAATATGTTTTTGCCCTAAGGAGAAGGCATTATTTTGAGTAAGACGGATCCATTATTTTGAGTTAGGATAATTTCGGAACAAGGACTAAGCTGTGACTTGTCAGCCAGGGAAAAATT